GAACGTGTAATCCAATTTCCACCAGAGATATCAAACACAGACCTATTTACTTACTGTTACTACCCACAGTGAACCTATGTACAAGTCTCTAGTGTTTGTTCTGAGATTATATGGTAGTTCATGTTTATTCGGTTTGTAACAGACTGAAAAATTCATATATTTAAAAACACATGCAATGTATCTCTGCATTCAAACTTTATACAGAACCTTCTTCAGAATAAATCTAATGCCATTCTTTCAATTAGTTGAATTCTTTCAACACAGCAACACAAAGAGTGAGAAGGCTAGAAGCCATCCAGCTCATCTGAATTTGTCAGTCAGTAGTTTACCGATCCCCGGATCTCATCCAATCATTTCTGTACAGAAACCAGGGTATCGGCTGGGCAGCTTGATCCACACTCCCACAGACCTCTTGATAAGAAGCCCTTCTTGTTTTTGGTTTAAAATGCCCTTCTACATACGTTAATTTCCTCTTCTTTCCTCTGGTTGGTGTTTCGCAGTTTATTCTGGAGATATCTTCTGGGTTGCCTTTATCGGTGTCTTTGAGGTTTTTGAGTACTTGGACCAATTTTGAGGGCCAGATGCCTCCTCTCACTGGTAATTTTCTTTTTCTCATGTTTCTTGAGAGGTGAAAGCTGAAGCAACCGAGCCAGTTTGAAGGAATTGACTGAGTATCTCAGAAAGAAAACGGGATATTTGAGGTGTTTCAAGCCTGACTATGGGTGAAAAGAGCCAAGAGCACTTCAAACCAATAAAACAAAAAAACATGGTATAATTTTCATATCCCTCAATTGTTAACTATTCTGGAACACCAACAAATTTCTCCAACAGTTTTTAGGAACGATAATGTCAATTCTGTAGGACCTGTTCTTGCTTGCCCCAACATATCCCAGAGAAACCATTGTTGTCTGGAGAAAAGCAATGTGTTTATTGGGCGGACATAAAGAAATTCACACGTTGGAGGCCTCTCTTAAATGGTTCAATTTCAATGTGAAAAAGCTATCCTTCTTTGTGAAAGCAAACCATGCGACAAGCATCCCAAGTGGCATTTTAGTAGGCAGAGAAAAAACCCAATATTTAATTAACACTACAGTGATTTGGGCTGCCATGTGTCTCGATGAAAACATACAAGAGCAGCACAATTAACATGCAAATGCAGCGAGCAGTGACCTCTCTGGCCTGTATGACAAAGGCCAACTCAGGAGGGCCATCTGTAAGGTAAACAGGTCACCCACCCACCTTTATCATGAAAACACTGCTCAGTCAGTAAGAGTTTCCTTCACAGTGGGCCATTGCCAGCAGCGCTCCCAGCTCTCTGGCCTTTGAACGGCCTCACTTCCAGAGCTCGTTCCCTGTCCCGAGTCAAAGGAAACACCCGTTTCCCCGCCTTCTCCCGGGACGGGTGATTATTGCTCCCTGCCAATCTTGTCTGTCGGGCGCGGGGGCGCTCCGTGAGTTTCCTTTCCACTGCTGCGCCTCGATCCACAGCGAGCGCGGGAGCCCCCACTCCTGGCGACGGGCCGCTGAGGGACCTCGGGCGGGAGCTGCTGCCGTTGAAGCGCTGTTCTTCAGCATGTAGGCGACGGCGTGATCTCGGTGGGGCCCGGCCCACCTGCTCCCTCTGGAGCTCAGCCCGGATCTCCTGGGGACCATCGGCATTGCCGTGGGAAGACAGGGCCGTTACCACCTGATGCCGTGCGAACAGATCTGGGCAGCCCTGCGTTCCAGAGCCTGCAGTCCAGCTGCAAGGTTTTCTTGCTTCAGGCTGCCATCTGTACTAGACCTCATTCTGATATCTTAAAAAACACAGGATTTTAAATCACTGCCTTCAAAGGCAATGATGATCAAGCTTGGTAAGGGACGGGCTATAAAACTGACTTTTCACCAGTGGGATTATTTTCACAGCCAGCTATTTTCTCTAAAGAGCAAAATTCAATATCACTGAAGCAAAAAAAAAAACACACACACAAAAAAGCCTGTTTTTTTTAATTCAGTACTAATCTTTTCACTAATAATCACTAAATGAACATTAGTAAAACCGATATGCAAGGAATTTGGCATGTGCTTCAGATTCGTGTTGAAGTTGGCACAGATAGCACAGTATTATCCCAGGTACTAATGTACTAACCTACATTTTATTGCACAAACTCCAAAACAAGGGCTAATTACCTCTGAGTTTGACCTTCCGCAGTGCCTGAGTGACGGTGGCAGCTAGCAGGGACCTGTCTGTTGTAAATGAAACACATTAATTTTATACTGCTGGGGAAGCCTGCCACCACGGCTCTTATCAAATACACATTCCAGACTTTTAATACCCAGGAGTCTGGCTGCCAGCGTCGACTCATGAAGGGATCGTGGCAGAGGGGACATGGAAAGCAAGGAAAATGACTAAAATAAGACACAAAAACTAAGGAAAGTCAAAAAAACTGATGAAAAAAAATTAACAGCAGGTTATTTTAGGCCAGCAGTTGACAATCTTGTCCTTGGCACAGCAGTTATCTATGTGTATCAACAAGAGATAATACCCTCACAGCTCCAGCCTGAAAGTTACCAGATGAGCCGGCAAGATTTTCAAACTCTGAAACTTGGCATAACTTATGACTACACATTTAGCTTGACCTAGAGCCATAACTTAAACCTGCTTCTGAAAGAGAAACTGCTTTAGTTCTTTTCTTGACAGAAAACATACTGTAAACACATATATTATCAGCTAATGCACTGCAGTCCATTTTATATCCAGTGCCTGACAAGTGAAGAGGGGTCTGTTTAACATGGACTGCAGCCATATATAAACAGGAGTGAAGCAGAACTGTGAGGATAGAGAGGCAAACTGTACAACATCCCTCCTCTTCGTGAGCCATATATAGTAATTCATGTTAATAATTAATTATGATAATTTCATGTGTTTGTATAATGCTTTTCACACTTTCACATATAGGAAGGGACCCACTTCACTCCTGAATGGCAGGTCCCCACCCGGGAGACACACAGCGACCATTCTGCACCAGTAACCCC